AGCTTGCTGCTTGGATCACTTAATCAGCTTAATGTTTACTTTGATGTTCATCATTACTTTGCATTTCTTGAAAAAAGGATATAAGAAGAATTGTCAATATGACATACAATCCATGCAACAATGTGATCGTATGATGTGTTCATAGTCATGAGTGATTATTGGTCCAATATACAATAGCAAAGCTGTCAGCATTTCTTTCTGTGGATGGCCAGAAATGACTCAGAACTTAGAAGTATTAGTTTTCTTCACAGGGCTTGGGTAAAAAGTAGGCACTGAGGGTAATCTTCCAGCAAGGAGCTTTAAAGTTTATTTTGACTTGGTATGAGATGTAGGCACAAGTAGGTACTAGGTAGGTACTTATTCATATAGCTATTAGCTAGTAGTTGTGTAGGTTTAGTTGGGTGCTCTGAGATTAGGTTGTTAGTTTTTAAATTGCCTAGTGTCCATAAAAATGTGACCTGAGGGCTGATCATACCTGACTAACCTGACCTAACCTCAATCATCATTCATCACACATATGACATATTTGCAACCTACCCAAGACCTGCATAGCAGTAGCACTCAGTTATAGGTAGGTACTTACTCACCCTAGCTCCATCTCACCTGCTAACCTTCAACTTGCCAACAGTTAGCTCACTTTGCCAAGCTGTATCCAACTATCCAGGGAAACAGTCAAATGAGGAACTGGCTTATTGGGTGGCTGGTGAGAGTCTGTGCATTAAAAGTGTCTCTTCTCTGAAGCTGCTCAGCACTACAGTGTGTGCCATGTTAGATGCTCAGAAAAATGTGGGAAATGATAACTAGGCTACTTTAGTGCTTTGTTCATGCTCAAGACATCAACAAGTACAAATCCTGTGGGGTAAAGCTATGAGCTGGGTGAGTAATGAGTATGTCAGGTGAGTGTGCTGTTGGACTGTAGTAAATATACAAACAAACACAGGGTCACAGTTATATTCAATCTCCCACAAAAACATACAACAAAAACGCCCATAGCCTCACTCCGAGCACACAACAAATAGCTAAGCCTTGCAGTCACAAAAACGCTTTGATTTACAGGATAGGTATACAATATATCCTCTGTCCTTGGGAATCTTCCTGCCAAGTTGAAGTAACATGACTGAACTTCAGGATTGATCAACCTTTTCTTCTTAGTCACAGCTTATGTACGAGAAAGACTAAATGCTTGGTTGATTAAAGGAAATAGTTCACTTTCACGAAATTATTTTTTTTGCAATGGATTTGTGATTTTTTATGTTCAAAATGATCAGCAAAGAAAATAAAACCTTTTTACAACAAAAGATTATTTTCTATATTTTTGATATAGGAAGAACTTTTCAGTTTCTGTAAGGCACACGCGATCCAGTATGAAAAGAGCATGGGTCCCGAAAATTCTTCAGAAACTAGAAATTATCGCGGCCACCGGCATTTGGGCGATCTGCTCGTGCTTTTGTTACTGGAGCGCCTCACTGGAGCGAATTTCTCTAGAGTTCTCGTAGATAATTTCTCTAGTTTCTGAAGAATTTTCGGGACCCATGCTCGTTTCATACTGGATGCGAATATATGCAAGGCACACATCCTCAACGCAAGACACATTTTTCGGGACGAGAAATAGAATATCTTTGCCTAGGGTGATCGTTGGGCTGTAAAAGCTCCTGATTTATGCTCGTCTCAGCCCAAGCTACGGAACTGCTATTCCAGCTCAAAACCCATGTTAAAATGTAAACTATTTCCTTTAACTGCCTTGAAAATTTTATGATCCATCTTCAATTCTGACATGAAGGCACAAAGAAAATAGTTCCCTCTCCTCTTGGAATACACAAAACAAATATGTAACATTTAATGACTTCTTAGTGGATGGACAAGAGCAATTATCATAGCTTCCCCTCAAGTTAACGTCTGGCACTGATGAACTACACTGACACCTCTGATCCAAGATAAACTTGAAATGTGTACATCTGTCTAGTCAACCATGCAACGGATGGAACTTGAGGTCAATATGATATGATATTTTGCGATATACAACGTTACCATGGATCCATGACGTTACTTTGGAACATTTTTTGCATGTTTGCTTCATATTTTGTAACAAACGCGCAAGAACTGCAATATCACAGCACTATATACTTCTGGACAAAATGCAATGGAAGTGAAAACTTAGCGCTGATGGTATTCATTCTTAGCCAAACGTAATCACAAAATGTTTTGTAGTAACTATTAAATTCCAGCCAAAAACAGTGCACGGGTTCAAAAAGAATCATTCCAATGACGGTCCATTCTTGCGGTCCTGAAATCGCCACTATTTTCGGCCTCTCCAACGCAACTCGTTGTCCAGACGTAAATATGCTTCATGGTGGAAGGTCTCCACAGCTTCCATATGCATTATCAACATCAGGGGCATTCCACGATAGATCGACCAAAGCTGTGCACCCTCATATTTTATTTTTCGCTCAAAATTCGTCTAGGGGGTTGTTTTGGGCCGGAAAGCCAGCTGTGGCGATGATTTTTTTTTCGACGAACGGTTAACGAGATATAGCCTCGGGCAATTTCTGGAGGTCACGCTTCAACCCTATGTTTGGCGGCTCATAACTAAAAAACTATTGACTTTTGTATAAGGATAACTTTATGTCTTCCAGCTCAAAATCAACCAAGGAAACTTTTGGCTATCTCGGATTTTCGATTTTCGAAAATTTTGGTCACGTGACCTCTTGACCTATTTTTTGAAGAGTGACCTTGACACTTTCCCACCCGAAAGTTGAAATTTGGTCTGATGACGATTCAAGCCTTATCAATGGTCGTTCATATGCGACAATAAAAAAATGGCTATCGGCCTGCATTGACCTCAGGTCAGGTCATCTTTGTGACCTGCCCATTATAAGTCAATGGCAGAAATATCAATTACCACCGAAATGCATCTGACCTGTTCAAATACTTCAGAATCATGCCGAATTAGGTTAGGGTGAATAGGTCAAAAACGCCCCCCTTAAGCGCGAAACCTTCTGACACTCAACCCAACACAGATTACTTAAACCTTTGGGCACCATCATGTAGCTCATTCTTTTTACTACGCTTTGAGACCAAGAAAAGACACCTGCGTGTGGTATTTAACCCCCCAAAAAGGTTTTCGCATACCCTTACAAAAGGGCGTTTTGCCCCATACCCTGGGTAATACGCCCACACCCATGTGCAAAGCGCCCCCACCCCATCCATCAACAGAAAATGATGAACATGGCAGAACTTGACGTCAATCCGACGTCATTTGTGGTCAACCTATCATAGCCTTTGGAACAAAATTTTGTTGCAATGTGTAAAATCGATGCCCGGAGGAGTCCTGAAAGTTTGGTGACGATATCTGCAGTCGTTTAGGATATATCAGCAAAAAAGGACAGGGAGAGGCCTTTTCGGCCCCGACCTACAGGGCGCTACCCTGCACTCTCACCACCGTGCAAAACGCCCCCCTTTCAGAAAACTGGGGGCGTCTTGCCCCATGCATCGAGTAGGCGTCTTGCCCCATCCACTCCATTTCCGGTCAACAAAATATTGACAAAAAACGCGCCACTAACGCCGCAGCATAATACGTTCAACAGAATGACAATAAAACGCAGTTTTGAGTGATGTGCACAATAGCAAGTTTTGTGATATAAATAGGGCATCAAAATGTTAGGAATCTTCTGTAAAAACAACAAAAACAACACCCAAAACCAACATCAGCACCTACCCACGCTGCTCCTCAAGACGCAGAACCGGAAATAGAGACCTACGTAAACAAGCAGCTGACTGTTCTGAAAGACAGGATAAAACACCTATCCGTCGATAAGAAATGCGATTTTTTTAGGGGAGGCGTTTAACCCAGGGGTGCGTCTTCCCCACAGTTACCCTATCATTGATGACTCTCGTGCAGTTTTGCATCAGTGACCTGTCGTAAGGTCATCCGAGGTCACATGATAAACTCACGACATGCATACCTAAATATGCATTTTTTTGCGTACTAGCTGGGAGCAGTGGCACACATTCTGTTTGCGTTTGTACGTACCACCAGAACCCTACCCTCTTGATCGCAGCCCTCGATCTGTCACGTGTGACATGTGAGGATTTGATAGAGCGAGCTGTATGTGACACACGTAAGCGAGACTGTATGATGCACGAATGTGATGAGTGTCCCGGTGAAGAGGGTGTGATTAACCATCTGAAGATGCTGGTGTACGATGATGATGAGGGCGATGATGATGACGACGTCGAGATTCGCTACAAAAAGTGGGAGAGCGGTGATCGCTGCACGTTGTCAGAAATGGTGGTGAGTCGTGAAGAATGTCTTCTGAGCCTTAGCCAGCAGATATATCACCTCACCCGCCACCATTATCAGGCAAAAGCGCAGGCTTCGTACTTTGCTAAACTAAAACAGACGCTTGGGGAGGGAGAGGCCGTGGTCCATGGTGACTTCTCCGAAAACTTCTCGTTTGTTGTGCAGGATGCCGCGCAGGGCTTCCACTGGGACGCGTCCCAGTGCACAGTCCACCCGTTTGTGGTGCACTGGCGGCAGGACGGCGAGCAATACCATCAAAGCTACTGCGTAATATCTGACTGCACCAAACACACCACCGTCACAGTGCACGCATTTCTACGCCGCCTGGTGCCGATGATCAAGAACCGTGTACCGGGGCTAAAAAAGATTCACTATTTTAGCGACGGCTGTGGAGGGCAGTACAAAAATAAGTTCAATTTCGTAAACGTATGCAGCCATGCTGACGACTTTCAGGTTCCCTGTGAATGGAATTTTTTTCGCCACCTCCCACGGCAAAGGAGCCTGTGACGGGATCGGTGGAACCGTCAAGCGCGCAACGTACCGCGAGAGTCTACGGCGCACGGTTTCTGATCAAATTCTGACCGCCCAAAACATGTATGACTTTCTAAGCCAGCAATTTGTCAGCGCCATAGAATTCCTCTTCGTGGCTAAGGGGGAGGTAGTGAAGGCGGCTACGGAGCTCAAAGCTCGCTTCGCCAGGGCCAAAACTGTGAAGGGGACGAGACAGTACCACAGATTCTGTCCAGTTGACCTGACCACAGTCCGCGTCCACGAGCTTTCAGAAGATCGGGAGGGCAAGGAAGTCAAAGTGTCTTAGATAAGCACATACAAAGTAGACGAGCTTGGAAAGTTGCACTGTTGGATCGGACCAATGTTGTGTTGTGTTGTTGTGAATATGTTGTCGGTTTGCTGTGTGCCGTGCGTGCCGATTAGGGTGTACATAGGAAAATGTTTTATGTGAGTGATTATTATTCATGCCAAATGTACGAAACTGCTGATCATCACATATCTACCTATGCTATTTTTTTTAGATTGGTACCTGTAGAAATGACCGCAACACCGAGTCATATGAGCGTGAATTGCTTAGGTACCTACAAGTACTTACGCCAACGTGTCTATGCACCTCGAATGCCTTTACCTCGCCAAAATATTATTTAATCTGGCTGAAAATAAACATTTTTCACGGAATAAAAACGTTTTTCGACAATATCTTATTATGTTTATGAAGTCAGATGTATAAAATAGCGCCATCGTGTTTGCTTTTTCCAGTCGGATCGAATTGTATAAGTTTTTATTTCGAAAGGTCAAATATGAAATTTGACCAAAATTTGACCCTAGGTCAAGGTCACGAAATGACCTTAACATATAAGGCTGCGTATGGCATGATGCGCCTGGCCAAAGTGAACTAATTGATGTGTTTCCCAAATCCCTATACCTATTCTATCAAAAGATATAGACATAAAAGGCATATGAATGTCGTGAGTCATAATGTGACCTCGGATGACCTTTCCGCGGGTCACTGATGCAAAATTGCACCAGAGTGATCAATAATAACCTAATATGGTATGATTATGAAGTAACTGTACCAGTCCGATGCGTTTTAGTGGCCTAGCCGGTACTTTTGCCATTGACTTATAATGGGCAGGTCACAAAGATGACCTGACCTGAGGTCAATGCAGGCCGATAGCCATGTTTTTTATTGTCGCATATGAACGACCATTGATAAGGCTTGAATCGTCATCAGACCAAATTTTAACTTTCAGGTGGGAAAGTGTCAAGGTCACTCTTCAAAAAATAGGTCAAGAGGTCACGTGACCAAAATTTTCGAAAATCGAAAATCCGAGATAGCCAAAAGTTTCCTTGGTTAATTTTGAGTTGGAAGACATAAAGTTATCCGTATACAAAAATCAATAGTTTTTGAGTTATGAGCCGCCAAACATAGGGTTGCTGCGTGACCTCCAGGAATTGCCCGAGGCTATATCTCGAAAACTGTAGGTCAAAAAAATTATCCTTGCCACAGCTGGCTTTCCCGCCCATTTCTACCCTATACACCAATTTTGAGCGAAAAATAAAATATGAGGGTGTCAATTTAATTTTTTTTTGGTCGATCTATCGTGGAATGCCCCATCAGCGGATTACGCACTACTAAAGAGCCAAAGTTTTGGATAAGAGCCAAGATTAGGCCAAGTTCTAGACCAGATAGTTATAGGATCTCAGCCAAGATAATGCTGCCGTAACATTAGAGCCAAGAGCCAAGCAAGTCGAGCGGGGCGATGGGTGACATTCATAAGTACCAGAGCTCATAAGTACCCAGGTTACACCGGGACCAAGGTTACGGGGGACTATTAAAGCATCCAAGAGCGCAGCATCCAAAATACGCAACAACTAAAACCGCAGCATCCAGCGATCAAAACCTCCAAATAACATCCAAAATCGGCCCTTTTGGGAGCACTCAGAGCATCCAAGAGCGAAACATTTAAGGATGCAGAATCCAAAACCGTATCATCCAAAATGGCAGCACGAGAATATCTGAGAATCGTATCATCCAAGGACGGTTCATCCAAAAGCGAAACATCCAAACATGCAGCATCCAGAATCGTATCATCCAAAACAATACAGAAAAGATGGAGCCACTGAAGAGACTCAGTAGCGCCACCTGGCATATGTGTTATAAACTATTAGTTTTAGGCTTGCTTGACAGGTGGCGAATGCGTCGTGTTTAGCGGCACATCTTCACGATGTGACGTCACTAGGTAATATGACGCCACCAGGTATTATACAGTGGATCCCCATTATATTTATTAGCAACCAGAGCCGACTGCCGGTGGCTGCTCTGTGCTCCCGCCGCCGCCGCCGCCGCCGCCACTCTGTCTCCCGCCAAATAGCAGGAAAGCGCGGGAACCAAAAGCGCGCCAAATCGGCGCGCCGCGTGCTAGCTCTTCGGTTGCTAGGTGCAGCTGCACTTGGCGCCGGCTGCGCGCCGCGTGGCAACTCGTTGCTCGGCCGGTACAGATGCACTTAACAAAGCAATGAATTGCGGACAGAGCTGTTAGCTGTTGGCGCCTGGTGGCATTACCGAAAGGTTAGGAGGTCGATGGTATTTGGTTTGATTGATAACTTTACTAGAAGTTATTCGTTGAGGCTGCAGGCAGGGGCGTCGCCACGGATTTTTGAATGGGGGGGACGATCGACAGAGGTGAAATCTAAAAAAAAACATAAACAACACGGCCAGGCGACCGTGTTTGGGACAACACGGCCAGTTAACTTATCAAGCTAACAGGGTATCAACATTTTATACATCACGCAAGGTATGTCATAAAAATCAAAAAGAGCTTATGATGCCGGGCTTCCCCGGCTTCCCCCACTGTAGGGTAAGGTGCCTAATTAGCGACCCTTTCCTATTTGCGACCTTCCTCCCTATACAGAAAAGCTGGGAAGATAAATCGGGGTAAAAACAATGTCAAAAGGTCTGCCATACTTTGGTTATCAAACTTAATTCTTTTCCGGTTGTCGGTGCTTCTGGTGGAACGTTTTAGGGGAGTTGCGATAAAAATGGCCAGTTTCTTATCCAAAACGTGTGCATTTGGACCCTATCTGATGAAAAGCGATGCACATTAAGATAATGCACCTTTTTTATTCTAAATCGACAATCCTTTTCCAATTGATTGCCGTTTTCCCGTAGTGAATCACGTTACTGTGCACTACATGGTAGTCAAAAATGTGTCGCAACCCAATTTCCTATTTGCGCCCAACACGGTCGCAAATAGGCAATAACTCAAGAAGGGAAAGAAAGGAAACAGACAGAAATTAAGATGAGGTGTTGCTGAAGTTTGCGATGTGTGGCGGGTGATACCAACTGTCGTCACCGACTGCAGGGGTGCCGATGCCGAATCCAGGGCGGGCCTCGAATATCATGCGAGATAGCCCGCATTATAGGGGAAGCGGGGGTAACACCGCCCCCCTAAGCTTTTCGCCAAAATGAGAGAATATGTGTGAAGTCTCTTGGTAGTTATTGTCTTGGTTACAATATTTAAACATTTGCTCACGTGTTTTAGGTACTTATTTTGCATGCTCCTAAAAGGTTTTCATATATCACGACTTTTAAAAATACCTTGCATATTTGCCGCCTACAAATTGTGTGGGTAACCCCGCCACCGGTGTTGATGTTAACCCAACCCATCCCTACGAAAGCTATTAATTGTTCAGAGATCGCGTGCGATGAGTTTCCTGTCGGTAAGTGGTAATTTTCGCAAATAATCGGTAATGGACACCTAAATAGGTAGGTAAAGGTTCATCAGCTGTTTGCCAGTTTTATACAGCTGGCAAGTGCTTGGTCGGGATGCATGAAAAATATAAAGTAAAAAGTCAAATGAGCTGCTTATTCCCGACTTAGGAACATCTACGAACATAAATAAAGCGTGTCTGGTATTTCATCACTTATCACGCTACGAACAGGAAACACCGCAACCTCAATTGGGGTAACACCGCCACGGGGTGGCGGTGTTCCCCAATAAGTGATCACAAGCAAAAATCGCCAGCGGCAAGAATGTACTACACGGTTCAAGCAAACCTATCTTACTGGACAAAGCCGATCAGTTATTTTTCGATGTAATCAAGTAAATCAAAATGAGTCTCTACTTAAAGACATTCAAAAGTGCTCCCAACTCATCGAATTTTTATAAGAGAATGTGCATTTTTCTTTAAATGCCCACAATGAGCTTCGATTACACTGAAACACCGGAACACAAATCAGAAGACGCTTACCTTCGTGCGGTTAATAGGAAATAACGGATTTTTACACTTTATAGTTCATACTTTCGCCGCCAGATGGGGTGGCGGTGTTTCCCACAGTGGCGGTGTTCCCCCCGCTTCCCCTATGGGTTTTCGCCTTATTTTTGCCTTTGGCCCTTTGGTGCATCACGTGATCAGTTTTCACCTTCATAAAGGTGTTGGACAAACGCTCCTGTTCCAATGATTGAGTGCTTTGCGTATAAGTTGCCTGTTTGGAACCATATTGCAAATTTGCAGGCGTCGCATTTTTTTTTTGCCATTTTTATTATGGGAAAACCCATAGACTTATTAGCGACCCTCACCGTGGTCGCTAATCGGGACGAGTTCCCTATTAGCGTTTTTGCAATGGTTTGCCAAAATGCTCAGTGCAAATAAATTAGGTAGTGGATATTGGTGCAGAAAATGAATGGATTTTGATAGCAAAATGTACGATCTCCTCGAGGACCTCGAAGACCAAGCCAGTAATACAGTGGCACCCATAGAGCGTGAGCAATGACGGTTCAAATCAAGGGGGTCGCTAATTAGGAACCTTACCCTACAGATCCGTATGTATTCTGAGTTCTCTCATCTAAGAAAAATGATTTAGTTAACCCTCGCCGGCACAGGGGCGGGGGGGAGGTTGATGCAACCCCCCTAAGGTTTTTCGCGAATAACTCGCGCAAAAAGCGGCCGATCGCGACGAAACTTTCAGTACCCTCGCATTGATCAATTTTACACGTTCCCAGAGAATTTCATGACCCTGACCAGGGGTGTAACTTTTGCTTTTGAGACGGGGGTGCACTTGGTGATGGGGGCGACCTTCAATGAGGATAGGGGCGCTTCCAAGGAGAATAGATGGTGCATATCTCTCAACAGGCGCGCACACAGGATTTTTGAACGGGAGGGGGAGCACGACCTGCAAACTGGGGCCCTCCATGACGAAGGGTCCCAGGCCCCAGCCGAAAAGTTTTCCAACGCGATTATTTTTCGGTTGACTTGAAACTTAGCTTCTGTCGATGCATGATAAAACAATTACTTCAGTGCCCGTTCAATTTTCAAAGCATTTAATGTTCCATTTTTGTTTACGCAGCATGTTTCATTCAAATACGATTCAGTGAGTAGTTATCACCATCTTTACAATCACGTAGAATATTCGATTAATAAGCGTGGATGCAAGGCCCTCAGAAATCAGCGCGGGTAGCGCCTGACTGCCGGCCGGCCGACCGACCCCGGCTAGCTAGAAGAGGAGGCTAGTCACGGGTTGGCCCG